TTGTTTGGCCACCCCTGCACTAGGGGAAATTAGTTTTTCAGAAAACAATCATCTAAAAACAGTCAGACAAGGTAAAATCCCAACATTAAAGAAAAGCAGAACAAGAGAGGATGTCACCAAGCTAATTTTCAGTGAAAATATGCTGTAAAGTTAGTTGCGCTGAAAAGTTAGAATAAAGTGCTATGTTCTCTTTACTACCAGTATTTGTGCAATGTCTACGCTGGACAAAGCTACATAATATGGTCTTTAAAAAGGTTTGTAGACACTGTTCGCACATGCTTTTGAGGAGAGTCAGATGTCGAGCCGTCCCCTCCGCTCTGACACGCACACACGCTGCTACAATGAGATAAAACTCCTCTCCTCCTGATTAACTGCTGCTGGATTGCCCTCACATCAGGGCCGGATGCAGAGAGGCAACGATACTTTAGAAAATCCTCCCAAACACAGGGTAAAGATTGTAAAAAGGTGATTCAGATACAGTAGGTGTGCTTTACATACTTTCTTATCTGCAAAAATACAATGCATGTCTCATTCATGTCTAATCATATTGTGATCCTTGTTAATGTTTATGTTTGAAATTATCTAATTTTGATTAAATTAAGCAATCAGAGACTACTATTAAGCAGCTCTGTTTGTGTATAAGTCTCTCCATGGTCTCGCACCAAAGTACATTTATGTTAGTGCCATATGAACCAACTGGGACTCTGAGGAGCACAGGGACTGGCCTCCTGCTGGTGCCCAGTCAGGACTACCCATGGGGGGAGCCAGCGTTACAGTTGTATGCAGCTAAAATTCTAAACATTCTTCCTGAAAATGTGAGACAGGCTTCTACTCTGACAATGCACATATCCAGGTAAAGTACTGCGATTATTTTTGATTGATTTTATTATGCCTTTTTTTGATTGTTTCTAACTTGTGTTGTTAAACTTCCCTTGCCTAACAGTACAAAAAAGTTGATCAAAGACACCAACAAAAGTCTGCTGACTAAGACCCATTCAATAACATAGAATTAGTGACAGTTTGAGTGGGCAACCCATTTTTTTACGACTTCCATTTCAGCAAAACGTTTATTTTTGCTGACCTGAACCATAAAACTACGCCGACAAAATGATTATGTTGGTAGCTTTCCCATTTACCACCAATACATGCATTTTTATTACATGTGATTTGCACGGCCTCTCGTGTGGAGTATAATCCAGAAAGAATCGCTCTTTGGTCAATAGCAGCAAGTCCCCTGTTTTACATTCTATTACTGGCAAGGTAATTTCATCCTGGACCAATAAATAAGCATTAGACGGAGCCAGGAGAGAGCCATATCCCAGGTAAATGAGAGCTTTATGATGAAGATTAGTGCAAATCCCTTACATGCACACACACACACCCACACACATAAAAACACACACACACACATACAGGGGCGAGGGGTGCTTTCGGATGCAGGCTTGGCTAACTCCATCTTCCACGTTTCCCCTGTAATCGATCAAAGCTCCAAATCACAGCCAGGAGAGGAAGCAGGCGAGGCAGTGTGGCCGTGTGAATTGCAGGCCGTTCCATTGATGAATGTCCACGAGCGTGTGATGCGGAGACGCCCAATCACAGGCCAGGGATTGTGAGCTGATCCAAGAGCCGCATACACACACCAAAGCAGGGGATATTCTACAGATCATTGTCAAATACAGGCTATTTCTATGAACTTCTTTGCGGCTTGGATTGTAATGGAGAAAACAAAAGGAGCAGGTGGTGTTTGGTTGTTCTGTCGAGATATGTTGTCTTGTGTTATGTCAGATGTTTTTGAAAATTGTTTTGGCTCTTACAAATGATAATGAAACCATTTCATGTCATGTTTTACAATGTGGAATAATATCTTTAATAGAAAATATGTGGTGAATAAGTGTCAAGGGTTAAAAATGTGTTCCACCTGTAACTCCCTTTGCCACCACTAGAGGGAGGTTTGTTTGTTTGGTTACACTTCAGTTTAGCCCTCACTTATAAACAGCTGATTAGGTTCTAATAAGTGTATTCTATTTGTATTCAACATGGCCTCAAACAAAATATACAGTGACTAACGAGATACTTTCAGATGTGGGTAAGGGTACACTAATTAGCACTTAATTATCTTTTAATTATTGAGAGCAAATAGATAATGTTACCAAGATTTTTTCATGTCATGTTTTTGAATGTGAAATAATTAAGTAGAAAATATATGATAAACAAGTCTTGAGGGTGAAAAACTTGTTCCACCTGTAACTCCCTATGCCGCCACAAGAGGGAGATTTGTTTTTGTGTTTTTGTTTCCAAATTTGAAAAATATTGGCAGCAAACACAGCAACCACATCATAAATTACTTAATATCCCAATGAGATTATCACAGGACTGAGACAGGAGTATTGAATGTTCATAATATATGTATCCTTTAAAGTGTATTTCAATGTTTAGAAATAATAATAATTGTTGATCACCTGGGGCTGAGCAAATTTCTAGAAGGAAAGTGTATTAAATATGAAATCGATTCAATATGACCTCCCCCTTGGAAAAAAAAACACCGCCCAAAACATTAAGGGAGGAGAATAGTCTAAAAGCTAAAGATTATGTTACGCTTCAAAATCAAAGTTTGTTTATAAAGAAAGTGTTTTTGTTTTTTTTTTTGCAATTCCAGAGTTCACAACATTTTACAGGGATCAATGAAACTTGCATTAAGATTGCATCAGTTAATTCTTAAAACATTTACTACAAGTGTTGCAGTAAGTTCAAGATGTTATGCATAATAATGAAGTTTGAATATTTAAGAGCTTTCATTTGAATCCATTCTTAGCTCTGAGCCACATCGTGTCTTTTCCCTCTGCATACGGTTTGCAGAGATTTTTTTGTATGGGCTTTTCATTACAACATGACCAATATGGATTTTCTATCGCTAATGACATATTTTTTTTAAGTTTGACCTTCCGGTGGTTGATGTAAATTGCCATTTATAATCTGGAATTTACATAAATCTGCAATTTGCAAAAAAATTATAAAAAATGCCAGCAAAAAAAAAAAACAGCAAATAAAGGAGATTGGTGCTAATGCTAATATGCTCGTTATAAAAAAAATAAAAAAAAACATGTATTAGAGGTTATTAAAGGATGCCTTGAAGGAATATTGTAGGTTCATTTTAAAGAGGGGAAAGAGAAGAAAACCTGAACATTTATACTTCATCATTTGCGACAGCGATATAGTTTGTGCAATCACTTTTCCTTGAACGTGGGTTTTGGTATTATGTAAATGTGTCCAGAAAAAAAATAAAGTTTTGCTAGGAATGAAAAAGAAATAAGGCTGAGTGCCATAGACTCTAACAACTGTCTTATTGACAACGTGGATTGCTTTCCAGGATTGTCTCCAATTATAATGAAACAAAACTGTGGTGATTCTTAAAGATAATACAAACAAACACATTGTATTTCTCATACATTTTTGTTTGGAAGAAACTCAAAAGCAAAAAAAAACATTCATTCATCTTCAACAACCCCTTTGTCCGTTTCTGGGTCAGGGGAGTGGCAGCTCCCAATTCACAAATCACCAGCCCCTCACTGATCCTCCTGCAGGTGGTGGGTTCACAGGAGGATGGTTGTTTCAGCAGGGGATTCAGGCAAAGTGGGGTTAAGTCTCTTGCCCACGGACATGACAGCAGATATCAATGGGAGTTGATGGAAAAGGTCTCGTGGGGGGATCAAACCCATGGCCATTAGGACTGAAGTCTCTACTAACTGAGCCGCTGTCACCACGGGAAAAGAAAGTATACTGTGAATGTGTCGGCCGTTTTCTATGGCTTCTCACTGTGGCTCTTCTTTCTTTGTCTAAACAGGACGTTCCGTGCCCAGTGTTACCCAAAGCATATATACTGAAAGTCGCTGTGAGTAAGTCCGTATCAATTCCAGTCTCAAGTGTTGAGCAGACAGCACCTTGGAGGCTTATGTTTCTAATATAATAACTCGTTGAACACATAATGCAAGGCGTGCTTGGAATGAAGAGAGAAAATGATGACATAAACGCTGTAATATAACGTAAACAAGGCCCCTGAATCTCCATATGGTAAAGGAAAACTCGAGGACAAAACCCACATCTGCTCCAATTAGGGAACGGAACACATAAATACTCCACAATTCTCATCAAGACAGGTTTTAGGCAAATGCATTTCACATTTCCTCTCGGAGCACAAGCACTCTGCTCCTCCACCAGAGTAAGTGCAGGTGGCAAACATGGACAGAGGCAGCTGAGAGAGAGGGCTAGGGATGGATGGTGAAGAATCAAAACTATAGCTACCAGTAATTAGACACTTCCTGAGCCGTTTGGAAATATATTTTATATGTGGGGGAACTATTTTGTGTTATTTACTGCAGCTTCTTACTTCTTCATTATGCAAAAGTTAGAGATTTCAGATTGCTTCCGTATTATGCTTACGCTGGAGATTTTCTACTTACTTCTTTTTATGCTAAGTTAGAGATTTTTTTCCTTATTTAGTGTAGAGTTATTTTCATGTATCTTGTGCTGTGTGCTCCTCATTCCTACTGTTCTATAACTGGTGACGCAACATTGACATTTCCCCACTGTGGGACGGATAAATTATATTTTAATCTATTCATCCTTATCTTATCTTATTGTCAGACAGACTGTTTTAAATCATCACTGTGTTCAGCCTATTCATTAGTGAGGCGAGAAGTGTCCCTAAGTAATGGGCTGTGTGATAATAATCTAGATAAATCTAAGAGCAGTAATGTTGCCTGTAATGTTTCATAGCATGACTTTCATTTGTGTTTATGAAAATGCCAGATAAAGATAATCGGCACAAATGGCTAGAACTCAAGTTGTCCAATGTACTTTTGCATAAGTCTTGATACATGCTTGAGCATCATGGACCTTTTCTGTGGACAGCTCCAAAAAAAAGTTACTATCCGAGGCCAACGAGAAAGACAGCAAGTGGACTTCCAACTGAACTCCGCAGAGTTCAGACTGGGAGAAGTCATTCAGAAGGAGGACCAGGGCAGAGCAGGGGTCCAGGGCAGAGCAATGGACCAGGGCAGAGCAGGGGTCCAGGGTAGAGCAGGGGTCCAGGGCAGAGCAATGGACCAGGGCAGAGCAGGGGTCCAGGGTAGAGCAGGGGTCCAGGGTAGAGCAAGGGACCAGGGAGGACCTACAGACCACCGACCATCTCCCAAAACCGAACAACCCCTGTCCCAAAAGCCTCATGCCACAGAATCCAGGTTTGCTCTAACTTCCACTTGGCTTTTATCATCACCTAGCTGTGTCTTTGGTCACAAATGTTAATTAGGTTCCAGACTCCATTACATGCCTGCATCTTGCCTTGTTTGGTGTAGCCAATAGGCATCTTAGATTAGATTTGATTACATTTGACTCTATTGTCATTACAAAGTCAGAACAATGCAACCAAATCCAGTTTAGCATCTAACCAGTAGTGCAATAGCGCAAGCATAGGCTAATATATACAACACGGATAAATAAAGGGGGCAGCTATTTGTTTTAAGGCTGTAAAAACCCTTCACCACACACTTATCCAACCACTTGAACTCACGAGTGCTGAAGTGTAATTGCAGAGATCTGATGCTAATGGAGTACACACACACAATACTGGGAGAAAGAAGAACAAATCTGCAAAACAGCGATGCCACGAAAGGTGAACCTGTATCTATCAAGGGTGCAATGTACACTTATTTTTGTGACTATATTTTTCATAGATAAAATTCAAGTTTTGTACGTCTTGCTTGTTTCCATTGAGAAAATTGTGTTCTGTTTTGTAAAACATAACAATCTCAGGAGGTGTTATGTGTTAGGTCATACATTATGCAATCAAGAATAGTTTATGTTCTTCACCGGAGCCCAAATATGTGGCTTATCTAAGAGCAGTAATACATTGAGTTTGCATATTTGAGTTTTCCTCGGTTGTTTTGATAATAAAAAGTGACATATCTAGAATAAGTTTAGGCCCCGCAGATGCAGCTTTGAATAAAACATGAGATAAGCCACAACAAAAAAGTCGAATTAATTAGGTTTGGCATTGATTAACGTCATCTAATTTGTCTCGGCATCAGTGTTTGATGAATAATGAACAGAAGGTATAGCTGTGAGGTTGTGTGTTTTGCAGAATGGAAAATTGATAACAAGAAAACAAGAGTAATCTACAAAGTGACAACAAGAGCCAGCGAAATGTTTTCAAAATATCTCCTTGTTCTGGAACGATATGAAAGCAAAGAACAAATGATAAATCAATCGCACTTCTAAGAGTTACTTTCAAAATGTTTACTTGCATTTTACATTGATTTTTCGACGTTGTGTGTTTTAAAGCTATACGCATGGAGTTAAAGGGGATCAGCAACTTACACTTGAATTTCATCTATTTTTACGTATTCTTTATTTCACGATCATGGGGCACATTACTGTTATGTACAGTAAGTATTTGTCAACAATAATATATTTAAAATGGTCCATCCCATATCCCATTGACATAATTTGGAACTTAGACTCACTTCAGAATTTCAAAACACTGCTCAAAACCCCCCTGTTATTAATCTAAATTATGGTCTAAATGGGTAAATTACATAAAGTCGCTCCAGCCAGATTCTGTGGACGTCCCTTTCATTCATCTGAAATGTCCTTTGATTGTATTTTCATTCAATAATACCTACTTTTTTAAAGATTAAGAAATGTTTTTTTTATGCATGCCTTATTGTACTTTTATTTTACTTGTATAACTTGTTTGAAACCGAGAGCCAAAGCATTATCCTAGTTTGTGTCTTCTTGTTGCTCACAATAATCCTGATACTAAATATGATTTTCTTTCTCTATCCCTTTCTGCAAATAGTGACACCTAAAAATAAATGTGAACTAGAAAAAAACAAGATTTAGTGGAAGTCATGCTGTGCTGTGTGACGGCAATTCCATGTCTGAAAATAACAAATATAAAATCTGCCTACACTGAACTGTTTATTTGAGCTTTTTATTATTGTTTCTTACCAACCTGTCCCTTTGTAAAGTGTGTGTCCAAAAAAGTGCTGTATAAGTGTGTGTTTTTTTAATTTCTTAATATCAACTACAACCAGTAAGATTTTCTTTCTTTGGAGGAGAACAGTCAAACCAATGACAAGGGCCCTCAAGGATTTTAATCAATTCCAACCAATCAGAAATCTGCAGGGGACTCCTGGGCGGGTCTAACCAGGGCTCGTCTTCAAAACCTTTCACTCACAAGTTAATGTTACTGACATCCACTTTAATCAAATCAGCCTTCCTTCAAAAAGATTCCACTTCCTTATTATCATTGGAGCAAACACACAGCAGCAGCAGAAAACTTTTCACAACTAAATCACACATCACAGGTAAAACAATAGTGCAATAAATCTCCATGGCAACCGCTGTCAATAGTTTGCGTTTGGACTCACCGTTGGGGCTCTCCTCGTTGATGGTCACCAGAGTTGCCGGGTTTCCAGACCGCATCAGCGTGCATTCTGTACACAAACGCACAAAAACACGTAGTAAACATTGTGCGACTGTAAAGATTGTCTTTTCAATCCACAGCGTCTATAATAAATAACTGGTTTGGCCACAGTGAGGGCTCTTTGGAATGCATGGAGCTCAAATGAAAATGAATTATGGACCGTTATGTGGGTAAATGCTCTTTCTAGAATGTTGTTATGAGATGAAAAGTATTGAAATCCCTGCAAAGCATGTTAGTGAAGTAGGCAGCATTAACCGTAAATTCGGTTCACAATTTGAGATTAAAAAGCAGCCAGCAGAAGAAAATTCATGAGAGACATTTCTTGTTGAGTGAAAAAAAAACTCAAATCATGATAATATTTCTAGTTTACTTCAAACAGGAATACTCAAATTTTAAACGGTGAAAGTAGATTTTAAAGTGATTGTCTGGAGTTTGTCAGAAAGAGAGACAGAGAAGTACTTGATTTGAAAAAAACGACACAAGCTCCCTCCCCCTTCCTTTCTGATTGGTCTACACTACGTTTCCGTAACACTTTGAAATGTTAATGAGAGAACACATTATACATATACATTATTAATACACATGCACGGAGGTTTTCAGAATTATTTGTGAATGTTTTAATGAAAAAAATAATGTAATATAGGTTCAGTATATAAAGGATTATGGATATAGGTTCAGTATATAAATGAGAACCTCAGCGAGGATGTTCAGAATTCTTTGTTCAGTTTTCATGTAGTTCCAGAGCCTAATGGAGGCTTGATTCGGAGGCTCCGCGAAAACAGACAACTGAGCAAGCGTGCAGCTGCGAGCATCAACGCCGATGATTGACAGCCCTTGGCATGACTCGATTGGTTAACCTCGACGGCACCGTGGATTCTGAACTATAGCTAAGAGCAGGGAAGGCGGGACTTGCCCGTAATATTAGAATTAATAAAATTACTTATTTTTTATGAACATTTAAGGCCCGGAGGTCAATTTAGGCCATTTCTTAAGAGACAATTTTTTAATTCAGAATAAACAACAGATTATTGTGAAATTTTAAACAATCTGTTCTACAGCAAAAACCTTAATATTCCAGTTTTCCATTTTTTTTTTTTTTTTTGTCTTCTGCTGTAGGGTTTAAGGACAATGCTGATCCAAGACATCCCACTCCCTATGTACCGATGGCTCCTATATGTTTGTTATTATTGCATTTCCTGTTTTCGAAATGTCTGATTCTCTGATCTGTTGTTGCCGAATCGACCTCAGAGACGACTGCTAAAATACAATAATAATTAAATTGAACAGCAGATAATAGTAAGGATCTCTCCACTGTAGGAAAGTAAATGTACAGATAATAAATATGGAGACGCACAATACAAGACTTCTGGGCGGCACGGTGGCTGAGTGGATAGCCTCTCAGCAAGAAGGTCCTGGGTTGGAATCCCAGTCGGACCAGGGCCTTTCTGAGTGGAGTTTGCATGTTCTCCCCGTCTCTGCGTAGGTTTCCTCCAGGTACTCCGGTTTCCCCTACCACTAAAAATATGTACGATAGGTCTGGCATGTGCCTCCTGTACTGGCGACCCCGTTCCCATCTCTGTGTGGAGTGAGAGACAAATGCCCAAAAAATAACAATTGTAAAACCGCTTTGAGACTCTGATCTAGAGTGAAAAGGCGGTATATAAATAAAGATTACTACTACTACTACTACTTCAATCCATCTGTTATTGAACAATGAGTCGATTTAGTAATTTTATTATTATTATCATTATTGTGACAAGCATACATGGTTCTTGCTTACACAATTACGCATACGGTTTCCAATTCAGAAGGGAAAATCAGAAAATACCAAATAATATTGTGTCCTGGCGTCTAACAATCTGTTCTTTGTGCCAGTTCTCTCTTTTGTCAACAGCATTGAACACACATAACATCAGCTGCCGAGACATGATGGAGTCTAACATCAGCAGGTGTAAGGTTGCCAGTGAGGGGGGTGTGTGTGTGGTGGTCCATGCCCAGGGGAGGGCGGGTAATGACAGGCGGACAGACAGCAGCAGATGGGGCCATCGTGCTGGAGGTGGCGAGCACAAGACAGGAGGACAGGGAGGGATGGCTGCTAAAAATGTGCTTACCCCCATTTGAATTCAGAATATGAAGGAATTACAGTGGTGTGATAAAGAATGTAATTAAAGCTACAGTGCCTAACTTTTAAACCACAAAAAAAATGCCATAATATTAGAATTCATAGCAAAGATATGTGAAATTGTGTTCTGGAGGTTTGAAATATATTGAACTAACTAATAATAATCATGTAATGTACGTGACAACCAGTGGTTCCTAGGTCTCGAAACTATGAAAAAGAGAGTAGCAGCCCTCACTCAGCCAATCAGCTTTCAGTAAGTTAAAAGTTTTCTAATAATAGGAAGAAAGTATTTTGTGGTGTGTTTTGTTTGCAAAAAAAATCTACGCAAGAATGTATATCTACCAGCTGTAATTAAATACTTCAAAATGTGGTCCACAGCAAATTCTGGGTTTTGTTATGTATTAAAATGAGGGTGAACTTGAGGAAATATGGACAAACCAAAGATAAATATTAGTTCGAAAAAATCTCAATCTCAATTCTCTATCACCCTACTCCTACTCCTCTCTGCTAAATACAACTAAGATAGATTAAGGGACTAAAGGGTTGATTTGACATTCAGCCTTTTTAAATCTAATGTAATAAAGTGTTCATTTGATATTATATTTAATAATTGAAGTAGTAAATTATTATTTTTATGAACCTTGAGTCTGGAAATAAAGATGTATTATTCTTATTATACTATTATTATCATTATGTAATCACAATTTCAATCATTCAATAATCTATCCTTCCACCCTTTCACTTATTTTACATTTTATAACAATAATCATCAAACAACGTAAATGTTCGGTGTAATTAGACCCAATCTCAGTTTTCTTTCGTGCCGCCTTCTTCATATCGATTAACTCACCATTTATGTTTTCATTTTTAGTTCCAGCCAAATCCTCTGAAAGTCGCGTAAGGAAACAAGCAGCATTATTAATAAAGTAAATCAAAGAGAAAGAATCATTTAATAATGTTGTAGGTAAATTAACGAGACAGTTTTTTTGTGGCCCCTGAAATGTTTTGCAATGATTGTTATGGCAGTAACTGGCAGCATTGATGGTGATAGGATACTATGGCTTGTTATACTTAATTTTAAAGCCTATTGTCTCAGGAAATCAAACATTTAACTGTATCTGTTCTGAAATGTTCACATACATCTCTAATTGATATTTGGTCCAGTTGTGGTTGAATCCAAACCTACTCAAAAATGATATCCAAACTCGTGTGAAATACAGTGATTTTTTCTTAAAAGACAAAAATAAGTAAAGAAAATAAAATAAAAACTACACCACTTTTATACTTCCGGCCCCAGCTTTTATGCCCCCGACCAAAATGAGTTTGACACCCCTGAATAGGTGGATTCATGTACGAGTACCAGTATTGTGCTCAATAATGAAATAATGAATTCTGATTTTATTTAACAAAACCCTCTAAATGATTCTGAATTCAACTTTTCTGGTCGGTTCCCGGTGAGTGATGTGTGCAGAGGAGCAGGCAGCAGTGATGGAGCAGGTATAAAACATTGAATAAAAGCAGCAGAAAGTGGAAAGTGAAGAACAGATGGCCTCTTACCATCGTACATCCAGTCTGAAGGGCCGGGTTAGTGCAGCGGACAGAGCAGAGATGGAGAGAAGAGACAAAAATGAAACGGGAGAAAAAGAAGTTAAGACATACTCCAACATCAAAAAGTCAGAAGAAATTAGAGGAAAAAGCAGAAACGCAAGAAATCAAAATAGTTTATAGTTATACAATTATCTGAGTCATGAAACCTCTTTGAAGTCTATGTAAAAGAAAAAAAGGACCTTAATTTGTCCCACAGTGGGGAAATTTCAATGTTGCAGAGCACATACAGAGCAGAAGTAAAAGTACACAGGGAGCACAAAAAATATACAATATGATTAGCTGCTATGTTTCTCAGCTAGCTATGTTTCTATCTATCTGTATAGTGTAAATGTATATACATATAGCGCAGGGTAGTACGTAGATAAAGTGGCATTCAGTGGACATTGCAGTGTTATAGTATAGTACAGGCTCAGCAGTTTTCATTGAACAGTCTGACAGCAGCAGGAAGGAAAGACCTGCGAAACCTCTCCTTCACACTGCGAGGGTGAATAAGTCTGTCACTGAAGCTACTCTCCAGAGCAGACAGTGTCCTGCAGGGAGTGACATGTTCAAAAGGAAACACTTAACAATTACACTGTTAAAGGACAACTCACCCTCAAATCCACTTTTTTTTGCTGATAAACGATTTAAATGAGTGTCCAATAGTGCTGTCTACATATCCTGGTCATAGTGTTTTCACTTTGGTGCAAATTAGTTGAAAGTTAAACTTTCTGCCTAAAACCGTCTGTGAGGCGCCATCTGCTGGCGACCTGTATTACTACATTTGAATTTTGAATCTGGCGCCAACACTGGCGCGGCAGCAAGACCTGACGTCTGAAGCAAGACCTGACGTCAGCAGCCCCCCGCCCAGAGCAATATAAACGGCCCAGTCTCGTTCCCGCCCCCTTCAGTCCTCCAGGCTACGCCCATTTAGAGGAAGATTTGAACAGGAAATGTGAGTGACGTAAGCTCCGAGGAGCGGGGGTGAGAACCACTTTAAAGGAGCAGTATCTGGCCAAAAGTGGTACTGCACTCTTCCTAACTCAGGTTGCTAAATATGCAGATAAATCCAGCTGGGACCATAATATCTGAATAAAGAGCTTTGTCAACAACAAAATCTATAACCAACACCTTTTTCACAAAGATAGAAATCCTGGCCATTTAATGATGACTTGACATGAAGATCTTACATATTGCTATTTAGTTTAGTTGTGATTGTGATAAATTTGAGTTTTTGTGAATGGATTCTTGGGTCTTGGGATGTTGGATGAATTGTTGTAATTGTTTGATGATGACAGAATTCCAAGTTATACAGAACTGAAATAATGGAACTGCTCCAGGTTCAGCAAAGAAGAAAATCAATCAAAAAGAAAATGACAAAGCAGAGTGGACGGAGCAGAGAAGAGACCAAAATGAAACTTGAGAAAATGAGGTTAAGACAAACTCGTACTTCAAAAATTAGGAAGAAATTACAGGAAAAACATAAACGCAAGACTTTGCAACGGTTCAAACCTATATTGATTTTGTCGGTGAACACGTCAGAGAGCTATAATTCATCTAGGAAATCCTATAGCGTGATGTATTTGAATTTAAGTCATATATTCTGGAGAGAAACATTTGCAGATTTGAATGTTGCGAGCTTTATCGGCTGCATCTTGATGGCTGTCACCGAGACTAATTAGGATAACAAGAATGCATTTCTGTTGAAACGGGCAAAATTAGCGTATGTCAAGTTGAGTGGCAGCCAAATTATTAGCAGAATTTTGGAAAACAAATCAGCTTGTGTGCACCCCCTCCTGCCTTTGAGACTCCTGACTTTCCCAGAACATGCCACGATCTGTAACGTCATGGCTTACACTTAATTTTTCCAGAATTTTCCAAGTTCAAAGCAGATCCCAATCTCACAGAATCATTGAGTGATGCCGAAATGACAGAACAAGGAACAGTAGTTTGAATGCATTGTAAGCAAACGTCACAATCCCATTATATAGAGCAGACTTGCATATAGAGACTGTGTTATGTGCTATTTCAATTTGGAGAGACGAGAAACAAGAAGCTTTGAGTATTTTATTGGGAGGAGGTTTGGCGCCCTAGGCCCCGGTGCGGCCTTCGGATCGGAGGGCCTCCATGCGAAGGAGCGAGCCAATCCCCCGGGACCTAGGCACTGGTGGCGGCATTTGCAGCGGGAAGCAGATTGAAGGCAGAATGAAGGCAGGGTGAAGAGGAGGAGGAGGGGAGGCGGTGGTTGCAGGCTTCGAGAAGGCCGAGAATGGGAGTTCCTCCGCTTTTAAGCAGCTTGCCTGGCTGGACCGGTGATTGGAAGGGGGCGTTTGCCGTGCGATAGGCTGGGGATGAGAACCGGCCTGGAGGGGTTACCTTTGGCTGACGTCTACCAAATTGAACTTTCGCTGGCTGCATATCAATAAAGTATATGATTACATCTTGGAAGAAAAGGGAAGGGTTAGAGGAGAACATTGAGAGTTTGGAGAGAGGGACAAGGGGAAGGTAGGAGATTAAACAGAAAAAAACATTTCAAATTTCCAATGCAAATGGCCCTGTTTGTCTAAATGAGGACGAAAACCCCCCGTAATGAACGATTGAACTCTGTATTCTGTATTCGTCATGTTATTGACTGATAATAAACTGAATAGCAGACGTTTTCCATTGCAAAATACTTTTCCATTGCAAGATAAATGTAACCTTACAGTCATTATAGAATTATATGAGTCATGAAACCTCTTCTAAGTCAATGCATGCTTCAACCACTTCAAAACTCAATTTGTTTTGTTGATGCACTCATGACAGTTCTAAATTGGGGTCGAGTAGATGTCTTATGTGAATGGATTGTTGGATGTTGGATGGATTGTTGTTGTTGAATTCCAAGTGCAAGGTCTAAAGCATATTTTGTCATTGGACTGAAATCATGAAACTTCTCCAAGAAAATCAGTCAAAATGAAGATTAATCTAGCAGAAATATGACCGCCCTATTGGAGCCTGGTCTTTTTATTATTTTAAATTTTGTGTTTGGACATTAACAGCTGCACTAAAGATACCGTATGTTCAAAAAGATATATTTCCTTATATTATATTTCCTTAAAAATGTAGCAGGATTCTAAAACTAGCATTAGAAATGGACTTGAATCATTTAGTACTTTCCATCTTCCATCCATTTTCTACCCTTTAATCCATTTCTGGGTCAGGGGGGTGGCAATCTGATCTTTCAGTGGGGGGCTTTGGGCAAAGTGGGGTTAAGTGTCTTGCCCAAGGACACAACGACAGCAGTCGGTGGAGAAGGTGCAGAGGTGGGAATTGAACCCACGACCTTCTGGCCAATGCTCTACCAACTGAGCTACTTTTTCTATCCAATTCCCTGCAGTGGGTAAATTTGTTGCATCACCCGTTACGGAACCGAATGAAGAGCATACGACACAATATAAATTAACAATAACTCTATACTAAAATTAAATAAATTAAAATCTCTAAACGTTAGCATTATAATGATAACAATGTAATGGTAACATTTAGAAATAGTGGCCCAACAGGTTTATCAGGTCATTCCATAATATTTTGTATTGTTTTTTTGATTATATAACTGAACATGTATTTATTTATTGTGGATGGCCCCTTGAGATGAATCATCTCTTTTTCGAGGGGGTCCTCTTCATCCGTTTGCTCTGTCAAACGGTTATAAAACAAAAATATGATAATATAAGATAAGATAAGATTGCTTTATTTATCTCACAGAGGAGAAATTTAAACATCTATATTTAAACATAATATGGGTTTAGGGCTTTATACTGAATATTTGAAGTCCAGTTTTAATTATCACAGAATGTTGGGAAACTGAAAAAGGCAGAACACATTGCAAAGCTGCCAGACACCCGAAAACCAAGTGAAACAAATCAAGTTCCAATACAGCCAACAGAGAGACATGAATGATTAATCCATCAAAAGAACCATGGCAGTTTATGAGTGAAAAAGAAAACTAAATAAAAAAGACATTGCAAATTCTGTATACTGGTCCGAGAGTCAATGGAATCCCTCATTTGTCTGGGAATGGTCAATCCTGAAAAGGTTACTTTCTTTTATAACAGCAAGACATTCAATATTGTCAGCTCAAATCCGTCTACTGTATTTTGTACATAGCTACTTTTACCTTTCAATAGACTATACCGAGAGATATATTTTAGATTGATCTCACAACTGGATAATTTCAGGTATCAAACTTTCAATAGTGTGACATGTGTTTGCTTATGAATATCATTTCCAGAGATAATTATACCCATTGTCAGTATTGTTATTAAGCCCAACAATTGCAGGCCCTATACTTTGCATTCAAATATAAGCCTTTAATTGGACACGCTTTTATCAAATCTGCATCAAATCTGCATCAAAATATGTTCCTTTATATTGTGCTTTTGTATTTGCGTCTATAGATATACTAATTATTCAAGCACTTTTAAAATTTGATTCATGTAAACTTGAGACCAAGGGTTGTTGTTCCGATGCAGGAGAGTCTGAAGACCAATGATCCAGGACATGTACCACTAGGACCCCCAGGATTCTGAAACTACAATAATTCAGATTGAATCCTATTCAAATCAATGGGATTATTTTCCATCAATTTTAATGAAAAATATATATACACTACCGTTCAAAAGTTTGGCGTCACCCAAGTGTTTTCCATGAAAAGTCACACTTATTCACCAACATACGTTGTGAAATGAATAGAAAATAGAGTCAAGACATTGACAAGGTTAGAAATAATGATTTTTATTTGAAATAAAATGTGTTTAACATCCAACTTTGCTTTCGTCAAAGAATCCTCCATTTGCAGCAATTACAACATTGCACCAAAAACCAGACATTTGCAGCTAGAATAGTCATTTACCACATAAGCAATTTATAGAGTGTATTTCTTTATAGTCAAGACTAGTTTAAAGTTATCTACAGTGCTTTTCCTTCAAAAATAAGGACATT